ATATTTTATGCCAGTAAAAGCATGGAATATTTTTCTCCTGGTACTTTTGCAGGGCTATTTTGTTTATCACTGTTAACAAATTGTGCTGCTAGTCCCATGGAAATGACAAAACAGTGGGAAACACCTAGAATTTGGGAGGCTGGAGGAATTCTTGGTTGCTGTGTCACTTACTCTCTCAGAGGAATTAGAAGAATTTGGTGAAAGACTGGCTACCCCTGACTCATGGTTATGCAGCTCCTTACAAGGAAGAATGGTTGGTTTATTTGTCTTGTTGTCAGTGTCTTTTCCTAGCAATCTGCTCACATGGAAAGAGAAACAGATGGAAACCCAATCTAATGATCTACAATCCCAGTTTAGTTACTGAAGAGAACTCTGTGTGCTCTTAGCAATGGTGGAAGCAGCAGAGACAAAGGCACCTCCTGGCCATCTCCCTCAGTTTACATACTGGGCTATGACCTTTCAGGATATATTTGATTCTTAATGCAGCATTGTCAAATGAACTGGCAAAACAAACTGTGTGGACAAAGAAATATTAGTGTACTTAGCTCCCCTACCTCCAGCATCCAGGTAGTAAATTGTTCAGTAAGAAGTTTTATGAGTTTTCCAGAGATTTTCCTCTTGCAAAGGGAAATGAAAGCCTGTGACTGTTGAGATATAAATTTTTGACTGCATTTGGGTAGTAACACCATTAAAAAGACTATTTAAATTCAGCTACCATGCCAGATTGTTGTGATAGTTTCTGTGGAAAATATTAGATTTAGTTTAAACCTTAATTAAAATCTAGTTATTTTAGGCTTTCAGTTTTGTTGGGGTTTCCCCACCTCCCCCCGTAATGTACTGAGGTTTTTTATCATTTTACTTGGTTTGCATACATGGGGGTACAGGAGAGGTTTCTTTGAGAAGCTGCCAGAAGCTTTCCGTGTGTCTGACAGAGCCAATGCCAGCCAGCTCCAAGACAGGTCTGCTGTTGGCTGAGGCTGGGCCGGCAGGGGCTGTAGAAATGCTTCTGGGATAACACATTTGAAAAGGAAAAAAAAGTTATTGTGCAAAGGTACTTGTAGACACAGGAGAGAGAAGTGAGAATATGTGAGAGAAAGAGCTGCACAGACACCAGGGTCAGTGCAGAAGGAGGGGCAGGAGGTGCTCCAGGAAGCTCAGCTCAGATTCCCTGCAGCCCGTGGTGCAGCCATGCTGGGGCAGCTGTGTCCCTGCAGCCCATGGAGGTCAGTGGGGTGCAGAGATCCTCCTGCAGCCCCAGAGGACCCCAAGCTGGAGCAGGGGGATGCCCAAAGGAGGCTGTGACCTGCTGGAAGCCCAGGCTGAGACAAGCTCCTGGCAGAACTTGAGGACCCATGGAGTGAGGAGCCCAAGCTGGAGCAGGTTTGCTGGTTGGACCTGTGACCCTGTGGCACATCCAGGTTGGACACTGTGCTTGAAGGACTGTGACTCATGGAAAGGGACCCACACTGGAGCAGTTTGTGAAGAACTGTGGTTTGTGGGAAGGACTCATGCTGAAGCAGTTTGTGGAGGACTGTCTCCTGTGGGTGAGGCCTCACACTGGAGCAGGGGAAGGAGGAGGAAACAGCAGCAGGAACCATGTGATGAACTGACCATAATCACTATTCCTGTCTTCCTGCATCTCTGGTGGGGAGAAGGTAGAGAATTGAAAATAAAATAAAGCCCAGGAAGAAGGAGAGTATGGGGATAGGTGATTTTAAAGTTTTATTTTACCTCTCATTGTCTTAGTCCAATATTGATTAATAATAAATTCAATTAATTTCTCCAAGTTGTGTCTGTTTTGCTTGTGATGGCAATCAGTGAATAATCTCTCCTAGGCCTTACCTCAGCCCATGACTTTTCATTATATCTTCTTTTCCCTATAGTATAATTTCCCTATAGTGTAGTATATATTCTTTTCCTGTATAGTTGAGGAGGAGGGTGATAGAGTGGCTTTGGTGGGCACCTGGCATCCAGCCAGGGCCAAACCACCTCAATAGTTTATTCCTTTAAATGTCTCAGAAGTGGAATAGTCTTTTGCTGATGATGTCTTTTAACAATAGAACCATGATTTGTTCTTTAAGCACACCCACAGATTGCAGGATGAAGAGGTGAAATTAAACTTCTTGAAACAGTAAACAGTCTGTCTGTATTCACAATGAGACATATTCCCCTCTTCTTTACACTATTATAAACCAGGAGTAAGTCCACAAAATTTGATGTGTCACCATAAATACAGGCAAATACATCCTAGTGTTCTGAGGGGTTGCAAATGGCTAGTCAAAAATAACAACTATGCTTACTTACAAAATTTTTGTATGGATTTTCTGCTAAAATGCCAGCTGTGGAAGACAAATCCTTTATTTAAGGCAAGAACGGGGAAAACATAAGCAGAAACCATGAGAGCATCTCAGATGCTCTTCTGTGGAGCTGTGGAGCTATGGGAACTTTGAGGAGGGAGCGCACAAACCACACGCCAAACCAGCAACCTGCAGCCAGTGATGCTGCTACCTGATTGCTCCTTTCAGCACACATTACCTGTCATGGAATACTATACCTGGGGCCCTTTCCTACCCTCCATTTTATTTTATTCCCTGTATGTGTTGGCTCCCAGGCCAGCAGGAAGAATGTGAGGGATAAAAGTAGTGAGAGGGAAGTGACAAGAAAAGGCATTTCTCTTCCTCTTTCATGATGAAGAACAGCAAGTGCCTGCAGCAGGAGATGGGGCAGATGTGGGAGAAAAATGTTTTTTCTCCCAGGTTTTTCCATCTCTGTGGTGACCTTCACCTTCTGTGTAGCTGTTTCTTTCCAGAGTATTTCCCTACACCTTCTCATAGAGTAACCCTCTGCTCTATACACCAGCAGACATTTTGTTAGCAGGAGCGTTGTGCACACTCCTTCCTCCCCTGTGGCCTTATCCATTGTGTCCTTTCTCACCGCCATAGCTATCACCTCTGATCTCAAACACTTGCCCCTATTTTTCCAAGGAGGCAGTGGCATCTGACTGTGCCTGAGGTGTGTTGTCTCCCTCTCTCCAGTTTAAGTATGTGAGGTAGCTGAATAGTCGGAGATACTTTGTGCAGGCTTTACTCGGAAATGCAATTTTAATTCCAGCCACGAGGGGACCTTCATAGTTTATTGTCTCTTTCCTGCAGGTTGGTCTCATCCATACACTTAGATGAGTTACTGTTTTGCTTCTTCTTAGGTAAAAAGACATTCGCCCCTTTTCCTTTTTAATATGGCTTTCATTTATTAGGTGTCCAGAGTTTATATCAAAAATATATAAATGTCTTGACTAGAGAAATTTGGCAAATAGAGTACAAAAATTAATCCCAAAAACAAAGAGCTCCCACTTATTGCAGTTTATTTAAGCTCCCACTTATTGTTTTCACATCATATGATCTGTGTTTGGAGTCTCATTCTCCTCTTGCATGCAGCAGCTGTGTATTTGCATCATTTGATCTGGTTTGTATGACAAAAAGAGGATGTGACTGTAACATACACTAACTTGCTCACTTTTTCTAATGAGCAGCAAAGACAGAACAACTAAAACACGTGGCCGGGGTCCCCAGCCCCTCTGGAGCTGGTGGTGAGCCACTGAGGCTCCTGCTGCCCCTGCTGCTGCGCCTCTGCCAGCTCCACGGGGCTGGTCAGGCCCTCACCTGCTCTGCTCCCCCTCCTCTGTGCAGAGAAGCACCATCCCCTGGCACAGCTGCTCCTGACAGCACTCCTGGGAGGCAGGCAGCCCACCCACCGCTCTCCCCCTGGGCTTCCCAGCAAGAGACGTGCTCTTCATCTCAGCCACGGAGGGGAAACTCTGCCTCAGGCATCAATGGCTGTGGGCGAGCTGGGATCTTCCCTTAGGCACGGCCAGCACTTGGCCCACGTGCCTTTCTTCCAGTTCTGGCAAAAGGGCCTTTCTGCATAAAAACACAACTCCTTTTCTCCCCAGCTATATCTTGAGAGAGATATGGTAACTAATAAATGCTTGTGTTTGTTGCATCCAAGAGAGACTTGTGAATCACAGCACTTCAGTAATTCTCAGGCATTCTGAGGTCGTGCTCAGCACGGAATTGAAGAAGGTGGTGTTTCTCAGATGTCATGCTCTGAGGTCTCTGAGAAATCTCATGTGGGCAGTGAACAATTATGTATGTACTACACAGGCCAAGTTAAACTCAAGGTTCCCCTCTAGATCCTATTTAAACTGTTGTCTTAATGAAATATTTCTAATCTTTTTAGAAATGTCCATCACATCTTTGCCTCTGCATCGTCAAGGCTTAGACACCCTCTGGGAACACAAACTGAAACGAAGCAGAAATAAGCAATATGTTAATGATAACAATGTTTAGAAAGGGATTTCATGGGAATGAAATAGACTTTTATTTTTGCCAATATAAATAAAGGCAGAAAGCTGTTTTGTAGCAGGCGTGTGTGAAATGTGAAACCCTGGCAGTGCGCAGCAGCACCGATGTGAGCCAGAATGACTGTGAAAAGCAAAACACTTCACCCCTGGAGGTGGGAATGTGATCTGGTGGTTACAGTAGCACAGAGCAAAATTGAAGCTCCCCGTTCATGCCCCCGACTGACTGTATATCTGTAGTCACCTCATGTACTGTCTATCAGCTCACCCATCTGTACAACAGGGACATATTTATCTGTATCTGAGCAGAGCCAGCTCTTGGCAAGCACCACCAGGGGATGCGGGCAGCCCTGTCCTGTCAGGAATGCAGGATTTCACAAGTGAAAAGTACAAGTCACCAGCACTTTGTCAGGACACAGAGTACCATTCCATTTGTTAAAACAGCTGTACACTTACAAGGAAATTTGGTGATAATGAGTGAAGAACCTCTTTATTCTCCAGGTAGCTTTGAAAGATTTTGAGTTAAGTCTTACACAAACTTCAGACACCAGTAGCTCTCTAGAGCAATATGCTCTAGAGAAATGAAGTCAATTAAACCTATCTAACCTTATCCAAGCAATCACCACTAATCAATATTATAAAAGGACAGTTTTTATACATGTATTTATTAAAATGATAATGTATTGCATGTTTTTGTTTTCATCTTCATTAGTTGAAAGTAAAATCTTTTAAATGACATTTTATAACTGAACTCAGTTGGTAGTCCCAGAACCGTTGCCAAGGTTAAGGTTTCCTAAATAAGGTTTCCTAATCACAGACCACACATAATCTTGTAATTGCAGAATCAGCAGACAGAGCAACGGCTGAAAGAGACTGGAAACTGAAATCTTTCCACATGCAGCAGGCCATCTTCTGAAGGGTTCCTGTCTGCCCTGTGAAAGCTCACACGTAACCCCTCTCCTGTGGATAAATATATTTTTGCAGCTTGCTTATCTACAGACAGAAACTGCCACAGTGACATTGAAAGAGTTACACGGGTCCAACCTGTGTGTATAATCTTGAATACCCATTTAAAACTGCCCTCTGCATTTTCTGCTCTATCTATAAATTTATTACTGAGTATTCTTGTAAAACTATCAGTTATAAAACAATGCTTTTGATTAAACTGTTGTGACTTTAGGTATATATTAGGTCTAATAAATGTTCATGTTTTGAGACTGCCTTTCTGCTACATGAAATTTGAAACTGATTGCAAAATTAATAATAAAAGCAGTGACTATCTTCTTTCAGAAAGAATGTAAAACCCTTACAGTCTACCATGAAGGAATACCCTCCTGCAGGTGCTTTGGTGTTCTCACTGCCTGTTGGGGAATAGTTGCACTGCCAACCACTTTACTGTGCACTTTACCGGTTGTGTTTTCACATAGTTTGGTGGCAGCTGTCAGCCCTGCCTCCCCCCTCACATACCCCTTGGGAGAACTCCCACCACAGCTTCTGCACAAAACTAAGTCCACCACCATTTAAGCCAAAAATCCAGACTTCCCAAATTCCTGTCTAGGCACCACGTAGTTTCAGAAAAGTGTCCAGAGAGGACCGATTATTTTTTTATTTTTTTTTTAAGTTTCTCAGCTTTCTGTCTGCTCCTTAGCATTCACAAGCTGTGGGCCCTGTGAGAAGCACAGCAGTCGCCTCAGCATGTTGTGTGGTGCCTTTTGGAACAGGCTTTTTCAAAGGTAACCTGAAAGATCAGGCTGTAAAATAATCAACTGATTATTTTACAGATAATCTGACCGAACCACAAGGCAGGTTAAGGAATCAGTTATAGCATCGGTGGAGGGAGGAGTCCCAGCCGTGGCCTGGGACTGTGCTGGGTGTGGTGGAGCTCCACAGCCCCTTCTGCAAGGAGCTCCCAGCTCAAGCACCAGGCAAGAGAGAGCAGATGGTGAGAGACAGATGGGAGAGTACAAGGAAACAATGAGATAAATGAGCAAAAACTCAGCTGAAGACTTTAGCATTTGGTTCCAAAATTATTAATTTTAGTAATCATTTCAGCTGATGTAACCCTACGGTAGAACGCCTTTCCTGTTCCAAAGGCCTTAATAGCTACAATTACAACACACGCGGCAGCCCAGGAGGGGTTACATTTTAGGCAAAGAGTGGGAGTTCAGCATGCAAGAAGTACCAAAGCAGGGGGTGTCAAACGCTGAAATTCGTTCAAGGGGGCTTAGGTATCGCAGCAACCGGCGGCTGAAGGCAACCTGACTGAGCGCTGCTCGGCAGTAGCGCCGGCTGACAGGCAGCTCGGGCTTCCCGGGAGGCCGGCGCTGCCCCGGGCCGCTGTCCCACGCCGCGGGCAGCCCGCCGGGGGTGCCACAGCGGGGCCGGGGCAGCGCCCTCGCCACCGCGCGGTCCCTCACGCACCGCCGCCCGGTCCCCGTGGGCTGGTGACAGCCCGGCCACATCCCCGCCCCGCTGAGCCCCCCAGGGATGCCGCGGTCCCGCCACGGCACCGCGGAGGCCCGGAGGTGGCCCCCGGTGTCAGCGCGCACCGAGGGGATGGTCGCGCACGGACCCCAGACCGCCACGGCCCCGCGCAGCCCTGAGGGGCCCGAAATCCTGAGGGAGGGCCAAAGGCCGCGTCCCGCCGGGGGTGGGCTGTGGGGCCGCGCCGCCCCTCCGGCCCGCGGGCGGCCGGGGCGCGCCGCGCTGCGCAGCCG